TTCCCACGCCTACTTCAGCATCCTATACCAAGCGAGTGAACTTCCGTGACATAGTGGCTACACTGTGTGCTGCAGTGTGCAAGTGCAGGGCTACATTTTGGGGGCATCAACTCAGTCCTTGTAATGACTCCACGAGGCAGGTGATGCTACTACAGAAGATGACGAAACAAGTGCAGAGGGTTTGTAGTTACAGCTGGTGAAGCCTCAACTTGGGAGGCTTGGCCACAGATTTCTCCAGCTTCAGAACCCAAACTCTTAACATCTGCCCTACACTACTGTCTGGAAGTGCATCTCCCAAAGATGTCAAATAATTGGCCAAAAAAAGGGGGAGAGAGACAGAGAGACAGAGTTGGGAGGAGAGAAAAGATAGGGGTTCTTAAAGGAATTCTGTGTCTTTGAATTCCTTTCTTCAGCTCTAAGTTTCTAGCAAGCGCCTTGAAGAAAAAGAAGCATTGGCCCAGCAGTTAGACAATGTGGGTTCTAATCCTGGTTTCTCACTAAATTATAGTTTTTCTTATATGTCCCTTGGTTTTCTCATCTGGATATCAGCAGGTTGGGTGCAGAGAGCTCTGTGGTCCCTTCTGACTTCCTGGAAGTCAGCTATAGGAGAGCCACACATAGGCATCCTCACTGGGCTGCCTAGAACACCAAGCCTTCTAGTCCCAGGGCTGGCAGTGGCCTCAAAACAGACTTCTGGAAAACATTCCAGTTCTTTCAGCCACCTTGCTCCATACCCCCTGTGTCCTCAAGGTCATTCCGATGGAATCTGGAGTGGATCACCACCGCATTTTCCTGCCCAGGATCTATTCCCTATTCCTCTGGTATTAGCAGCACAGCCTTCCTTTGAGGAACCATCCTTTCTCCATCCCCAGTCCTTAAGAGTCAGGCTCCAGGGACAGGCACATGAGAAGCTGGGGATATAGCCTATTTCCCATCCCCACCCACCTTGATCCCAGTGGCTGACTGGAGACTGGGCATAGTATCCAAAGCAGGCTCAATTCCAAGACTTTGGCTGGAGATACTGGTGGCCATGTTTCCTCCTTATGGGAAGTCTGTTAGGATGAAGCAACACAGAGAGAATCAAAGCTGGGAGCTAAAGACAGGGCAATTGCCGAGAACACTACCTGACCTCTAGATCCAGCTGTGCCTGAAGCATGTGCCTGGACCTTTCAGTTACCTGAGCAAATAAATCCACCCTCATTTTTTTTGTTGTTGTTGTTGTTTAAATAAGTCTGAGATGAATTAGATTAGGGTTCAGTAATTATGTGGGGTTTTTTGGAGATTTCTGCTTTTCTCATCCATATATGCCCCTTTCTAGGAGTTCCAGAATCTTTGTTTTTTGTTTTGTTTTTTTAATTTGAGGAGGAGGAGGAGGAGAGTAGTAGTAAGTAGTCGTCGTCTTGTCTTCGTCAATTCCAAAAGCCCCATGAAAGACATGGTCTAATGCAGTGTTGGGAAACACACAGCACTGTTGCCACCACCCCTGCCCCATACTTATCACAAACATCACTCATTTATCAGAATTCTTCTCAGTGCAGAATTCTTGGCAGCCAATGCCAATCACTGGAGTTGGCTCCAAGATGAAGTCTATTTTCCAACAAAGCTGAAGAGACCTGCATCACTGCACTGTGTGTGGTGCCAATCAGAGGACTAGAGATGGTCTGAATCAAAGGATTAACTGCCATGGCCTGTCTGGAGGACACCAGTTGATCACAAAGACAGATGCACTTTGACATACTGGGAAAATCAATAGTGCCAATTGTTAGCCACTGCCAGGGTCGGCCCCTGAGGAGGGGTCTCTCTCGGCAGTGATAGCTGAGAAAGGGAAGCATGGAGCTCAGCTGGCGGGCTCCTGGAGGCGAAGCATGGGCAGAAAGCATCTTGACCCAAATGGCCAGGCAGCCTCACAAGACCCCTCGGGGGCCTCAGCCCTGGCCCCACACCCAATGGAAACACCTGCCACAGCATGATGGTGAGCCCGTCTACATGCCCACTGGCAACTCACGCCTCCTGGGGATGCCAACTTTGAGCAGACCACGTTTTCTTGGGCATAAGCCTCCAACAAAAAGTTCTAAGTTGGTGCCTTTCTAATTCTGAAGCTGACGGATGCTTTTCTCACTCTCACACAGCTCAAAATCAACCTGACATTTCTAAAATTACATTTTGAAGGCAAGGAATCTATAAAGTGCACCAAAGCCCATGCCAGCTGGGAGAAAAAGAAAAGAGGAAAGAGAAATGTTTCTGGCTCCCTCCCTTACATTTGAATATTCTTTATATATTGGCTGGGGCAGCTCGAGAAGGGAAGGGGCACTTGCAGACCACCTAAAACTGCAGGAAAGTTTTCAAGGAGCAGGTGCTTTCTGAATTTCCCTGAGGGTTCCAGTGCAATTGTGGTTCAGACTGGCCTGGAGACAAGGAATGAAAATGAGGGAGAAGTGAGACAGGGCGTGAAGGGGGTGGGGCACCTTTGTCTTCTTCACGCCAGAGACAGTCCTTCCACAGGCGGCTGGCGAGGGGCCTCGAGGTGGGCCCCCAAGGAAGCCCCCTGGCTGGGCGGCACACAGGCCGCTTAAAAGAGAATAAGCCAGCAGCTGCTTCTCCTTAAACTAGAGAGGTGGCCGAGGGGGCTTTGTGCGAGCCAGGATCAAAACACGCCTATCAAGAGGGATCAAGGGCCTGGCCAAGTGGATTGCAGATGGGAATGGGAATTGAATCTTTTTTTTTTTTTTAACAAAAATGTAAAGAAAATTCAGAGAGAAAATGCCTCCATGTGCAATTCTGTCCTTTCACTTGTAGTGAAGCCTGTTCAACTACCACAATCATCCTCTGCCCTTCACCCACAGATCAACTTTACAATGCAACTAAAATGATCCATTCAACTGAGAAGAACCCCACACCCCTTCACCCCCACCCAGTACCCAGCAAGCTAGTTCCCTGAGCCTCCAGCCTGGATGGAGCAAGTCTACCCTCCTGCTTCTCTGCTTCGTCTCCTTACTGCGGTTGCTGTGGGGCTCTCACGGCTGCGAACACACGTGACCCAGGAGGAAACGAGTCCTTAATCTACGTTCCACACAGGGCAGCTCCACTCAGGAATCATTAATCCTGTGCTCACAAGGTGACTCCAGGGTGCTTATTACTAGGGAGACACAGAAGATTTGGGGAAACAGGAACACCCTTCTCTGGGGTTGCAACACCTTGGGCCAGAGGGAGATGCCTACGAATAGGCCTCAGGGGCCAGGCAGAGCACCAAGGGTGTGCTTATCATGAAACGGGGGAAGGGCAGGCAGGAGATGAGGGGTGGTTCCTCCTAGGAAAACTGTGGGCTATGCTCGAAGGAAGTGTGATCTGAGGGGCGGGTAGGGGTGTGATGGCAGCCAGGGGTAAGGGGACAGGGGCATCCCAGGGGGAGTGTGCAGCAAATGCACAGGCCCAGCATGGAGAGGGAGGGCTTCTGGTGCAGCAAGCTTTTCTGTATATGTGTGGGATGAGGCGGGGAGGCTATGTGGAGTGGAGAGGGGAGGGCCTAGGGCTGTATCCCTGTATCCTCAAAGACCATGCATGCCAGGCTGAAAAGTCACCAAATGAGATTCTTACAAATGAGACTCTGTGGACAGTTTATGCCGGCCAACACATGAGCAGAGCTGCTCCAGCCCCCTTTCGCCTTCAGGTCTCTTCTTGAGCAGTGGAGGAGGAGGAGGAGGAGGATGCCTTCCAGTCCCCCAGGGCCATCTTGCAGAGGACAGTGGCTACTGCTGGACCAGGTCCTTCCCTGAGGGCACACTGCAGAGCCAAGAAGCCGCATTCCTGTGTTGGGGGAAGTGGCCAAAGGAGACCCTTCCAAAGCCAGAGACTGAGGCTACAAGAATGCAGCAGAGGCCCAATTCCAGGATAATCATCAACGCTACTCCTCTCAGGGCCACTGGCTCACTGACAGGGGTGTGTGGCCTCTCAGCATACCACAGGTGACACAGGGAGGGGAGGAGAGGTGCCAGCCCTGGGGACTCAACACCCGTGAAGTGTCTGAACCACTTACATGCCCACATGCAAAACTTGTTCCTATCTCTCCCCAAGCCAACAAAAGTCCATGCCTTCCTCTCCTGCACTGTATGTGGGATGCATGGGATCTCGTCAGTAGTTTCATGCAGTTGGGGTTCGTCTTTGTTCTCCTCATCTGTCCCTCTCCAGCCTCAACGTCCATGGTACCTCCCCACTGAGTCCCCACAACAGATTCTCTTAACGTGCTTTTGCAAGTCAAATATCTCTGCCATTTAACTAAAAAAAAAAAAAAAACAAAAAACAAAAACAGTTAATATCACAAAAGACTCCAGAAATACATGCTTTTGAATTCCAGCCACAGAGAAGACAAGAGGAGACACTGGCATCTGCAGATATGGCTGCTTTCCATAAGAAAGGTTCGTGCAGTGAGACCAGCCCAGCTCCTCAGCCCATGTGAGAACACATACCCCACCACACAAGGGCTGAGGGACAGTGTCTTTGGTTGGCTGGGGCTTCATCCAGAGCTCATTGGAAGGTGGCGTGGCAAGAAGGGGAAGTCTTCCTGCAGCCCCCTTACGAGGGCGACAAAGGCAGGGAGTACATGAGGAGGCATTTAAGCTTTGCTAGCCTCCCACCGCCTCTTAGGCTACAGGACTCGTTACTGCAACCTAATACAGAATAGGTTGATGATTTGAACTTGGATCTCACAGTAGCCCAGTGACACATCAGCAGCCATAATGCGGATGTCAGCAGGAGAGCGGCCAGCCGGAAAATTGCTCCTAGACAATCGTGTATTGTTAGATCCACATAGAGAATACATTCAAACCCTTTATACCAAATAAGAGTAAATAATTATACCAATATAAACAGGGCCTCTGACCCTTTCATTTTATTAAAATGGCACGTAAATATGAAAACAGCATACTGATCACTTCATACATCTGCGTGTCCCCAGGTGTGTGGCCGAGGAGTGGCACGAGGGCTCCCTCCGAGAGGCTGCAGAATCATGCATTGAGCAATTCATGTTCTTTATCGGTTTTCCCAATAGCATCAGGATTTGACAGTGGGTCGAGGTCAGCAAAGAGGCTGAACCAGGCAGTCAGGTCCGAGGAGGCAGCCTTGGCAGGTTCTGGGGAGAGAACAGGCAACATGAATACACGTACCTTCCAAAGGCCCACCTCTGCCATGCTGCATACAGGTGGGTCCAGGCTCATCTGGAAAAGGGAGGATACTACTCAGACGAATCCTATTACACTCTGTCTCTAAAACTAGCTAGGGGATTCCACATCTCCCTGTTGGCTATCGGAGAAACATTTCTAAACCATGGCCTGAAGCTCAGTGAAGAACAAGCCCAGTGTTAATCCACACCTGCACCCCCATCCCAGCGGATGGCACAGCCCAACAAGTTGCCTAAAACCTCAGATGGTGCTGCTTCAACGCAAGTAGGAAATATCACTGTGATTTCAGAAATCGAATGAATGGCTGAGGATGCATGGAGGAATCTTTTCGAATCTGCTGGGTCAAGGGAAGTATGATGGTCACTCTTTTCAGGCTTTAGGGCATCAGGCTGAGAGGAGGGTTTCTCCTTTCTCAGGGTCACTGCCCTCATCCACCATCTCCTGTTAGAGGGAGGAGGCCTTTAACATGCCTCCCTTCCTCCCCCCTCACACCCCTCCCACTTCACCATCTATGGATGCTCCCTTCAGCTGTTCTTTAACTGAACCACCCGCCCCAACTTCCCGAATGCCACAATTACAGAGCCAAATTATTTTCCAGATGAGGAGAGTATTTTCAAAAGAGTGCCTCATGCAAGTGATTTCTACACAAGTTGGGGCCTCTTTGTATAAATCATTCCACATGAGGATCGAAGTTCATTGGCTTGGACGACCCAGGCTTTTTTCCCCTTCCCCAACAGGTGGGAGTATCAAAAGCACGAAGAAAACGTCTGACAGGTTATCCTTCTAGCTGAGAGCAACAAGGAATGTGCTTGCCATCTGGCTGAAAGAGTCTCGGAAAATACTGGTGGGACAGGCTGCTACAAGGTTATGCCAAAGGAACAGGACAGTGGTTATGGGCTTATCCTACAGCAACAAGGCCTTTGGTCTTTTCACGAAAATGGCACTGAAATGTTAAGATAAGGTGCCAATCATGGTATAGTTCTGATTCCTGTCTTTTGTTTTTCCCCATAATCTCTCATAGGTATATTACTTTATCATGAGATAATCAACACATCCGTTACAGAGATAAAATGACTACAAGCAATGCTCACTGGCAAGAGGCAAGTTATTGTGTAACATTAATCGATCTCCATGTACAATCAACCTGCAGAACACTTGGCTTAGTTTGATACGATAAACTGAGACCCAAGAGATCTCAATATAGGTTGGTTGGGGAGTGGAGTGGGGAATAATTTTTAAAAAGGGAGTAACCAACTCAACGTTTAGTCATGTAGGAGTCCACACAGCAAACCGTATGGGGCAAGACTGATTTAAAGAGGATTAGCCATCTCGATTCTTGATAGGGAATATCAAGATCTCTTAAAGAGATCTCCAGCAAAAATACACTACATCACTACATCCACTTCCTCTTTTCCTCCTAACCTCCCAAAGGTGTAGGGCGGCCTCAGAGGGTAGCTGTGGCCTTGCTAGGAGGAGTCAGGTGACTGTACTTTGGTGCAGCCCTCACCTTCCCTAGACCTCTACTGCCAGAGTTTGGGAAACCAGGTGCAACTGTTTGCACAATACCTACAAGAACATCCTGGGAATGCTTCTGGATGATAAAGACACTCCCTGCAACTTCCTGTGGTTAACACGGAAAGTGGGTGATGACCAAAGGAAGAGAGAGACAGCTGCAAATACAGAGATCTTCAGTCAAGCACAGGTTCTCTTTGGGGACCTGTCTCAGAAAAGAACAGTCCCACGAGCTTGAAAGGCCCTCCTCTGACAGCTAAGTAAACCTGGCTCTTTGTTAGGTGGAGGCAATGGTAGTTTCAGTAAAAGACAGCAAACTTCACTGGCCTTTCCTACCTTGCTGGAACCATTCAACCTTGGGCAGCACACAATCACATGGGGAGAGGTTATTTGGTTCCTCCTCCTTTGGTTTAATAAGGGGAATTATTAGTTGGGACACTGGGCCAGAATAAAAGAACATAATTCCTAGGATCATGCAAAACTCTCCACCCTTGTAGCCCATGCTTTGTACCCTAGGTGCTCAAATAGAAATTAGTAAAGAAAAGACAGAAAATAGTGTTAGGCTAGTTGAAAGGAAGGCAATTGTCATTTCCAGGGAATAAAACACTATATTACCTTTCATTGCAGGGCTGTTGTCATTTGGACTGCTTGCCTGTGGTGCTGGCCATGGAGTAGGAGGAGGATTGACATTGTTCTCTGACCAGCCTAATATTCAAAACCAGAGGTTGTTAGGTCGAGGGAAGAACAGGCACACTGCCCTACCAGGCACTGGGCACACACACGGTCTCACCCATAGTGGCCTCCAAAGAAAGGGAAAAGGGTGACAAGACCCTTCTGCCATGTTCTTCATACCTGGGGTATATTTTATGGGACAGTAGGTATGTGTGTGTGTGTGTGTGTGTGTGTATATATATATATATATATATATACACATACATATATATATCATATATATATAATCATACCTAATTCATAAGTATGGAAAATTAGGGAAAACATTGGATTTTGAAAAAAAAAATGTGAAATTGTTAACGTTGAAACATTTTTTTTTTTTTTTAGCTCTATGCCCATTTTTCTTCTCAAGTAACATCATTTCATGGTCACACCAAAGATTATCCATAGCATTCCAAGGAAATCAAGTGCCTTGTTTTTCTGTCATAAATGGAGAAAGCTTAAAAAAAAAAGTGAACAATAGTAAATATAGTGATATAACTAATAAACTGTGGGTCTTCTCCACTTCATTATGATCCAGCTGATTTATTTTGTATCCAGCTAATCTGAGAAGTTTAGTTAATACAGATAAATAAATGGTAGTCTAGTCCAAGTTTATGAGGGGAAAGAAAGCCCCCTCCCCCAACTTGCTGCCATGGCCTTACAATGGCACTTGGCTTGTGTAACCCAACATTCTGTAATGCCCCCTGTGCTCTTCCTGCTTCTAATGTGAACTTAACATCCGGCAGTCCTGCTTGGGGAGAGGCACACCTAGTTTCCCTAGATGTTTTGGCATGGCTCACATTTAATTTAGAACTTTACCATATACTCCTTTGCACATCTGCTTTAATTCTTGGTATGTTTAAGTCCTGTCTTCTTAGTGAGAGAAGAAATTCCTTCTTCAATGTGCTCCAAAATACCTAATGCAGCATAGGAAGGTGTTTGTGGACTAAGTCCATTCTTGATTCTCACCATGAAACACAGACCATCAGATGATGTATCACTGTCGGGTCCATCATTGTTAAAATTGTATCCTTTTACTGGGATGCTCTGCTTACAGTGTTTTCTCTAGAAAAGGTTTTGTCTCCTATAAGGCCCTCATAAGACAACATGTTTGGATGGCACAGTTCAGCTGGGGCAGTGAAACCAATTTCTGGAGCAAGAAAAGTCAATGCGTATATGCCACAAAAATGATAGCATTTAATGCTGCTCATTTCCCCTGCCACTAGTCTAAGATGTGTAATAGGAGATGTCATTAACAACTCTTACTCTGTTTATTAGTTTGCATTTTTGTGTCACCTCCTAGAGTTGTGAGCCTCTTGGAGATAGGACCATGTATTAATCATCTTTACATCCTGTACTGTGCTGCCTGGCACACAATGGCTGTTGAATTAGGATACACTATTAGAGAATAGTCTTAAACCATAAGAAGTACACTTATAAAGCATTATTTTAAGATACAGCAAAGCAATGCTTGGCATAGTAGATGCTATAATACTCACTGGCTGAATTATTTCATTTTAGGCAAGTGGCATACAGACTTCTCCGAGAAGACTAACCAATGACAAATGAAACAGGAGGCCTTTGACCTATTTATTGGTTCTAAAACAATGCAAACATATAGAGGGTTTTTAAAAGTATTATTATTCATTGGAAAGGTACTTGAATATGTAGTTAACATAATTCATAAGCCACCAAAAGCACCAGATTTTGAGGGAGCTTTCTAGGATAATGGAAATGTTCTAACACTGGACTATAGTGTTAATTGCACAATATAAATTTACCAGAAATCCTTGAACCATTCTTTTACAATGGCTGGTTTTTATGGTATGTAAATTACAGTTCAAAAAAAGCAGTTTTAAAAAACGACCAGTATTCAGTGTAATCCAGGAGTAACACAACCTCCCTAGTTCCTAGATAACTGGCCCATGAGCATTCCTTTTAAATGCAAATCACATAAAACAGTGGCAAATGTGGAAAGTTAAAATCGTGATTCCATAAGTATACCAAATAAAGCTGAAAGAGGTAGAATGTAACTGGGTGACTTTTCCCCTTTTCCCCTACAATCCTCTCCCCAACACCAAATGTACTCAAGACCCACCTGTGCTCAGCAGAGCCCACGGACCCTTCCCAGCACCCCCAGCAAGCCTGGCCTTAACCTCTTAGAGTAGTGGTTCTCAAAGTGTGGTGCCCACACCAGCAGCATGGGTATCACCTGTAAGCTGGCTAGAAATACAAGTTCCCAGGGCCAACCCTGACCCAGTGAATCAGAATCCCTAGGGGTAGAGCCCAGGAAACTGTTTTAACAACTCCCCAGTGATTCTAAGTGCAAGTTTGGGAAGCACTGTTATAGGCGGTCTCCAAGGAGGCTGCACAAGGGTCACTGTCTCCATCAGGATCAGGTCATCTTGGTTGAGGCCAGAGCCAGACAAAGGCAGAGGCTCTCCTAAGAAACAGAGGGGTCTGTCTCAGAACCCTACTTCCTCAGGTCCTGCAGCTTTAAGCTCTTCAGTTCTGTCAAGCTCTCTGAGTTCAAGGAGACCCACACATTCAGAGAGAACCTGAACCGACCCAGAGCAAAGCCAAATCAGAGGTACAGAAGTCAACCCTCCCTGGTCTCTATATGCTATTCGATACAGTGGGAACTCAATGAGATAATTTTTCGCATTTCAAAAATATGCACAAAAGTCATTTTTTTTAAATGGCTGCAGAGAACACTCGAAAAGCGAGGCAGGTTGGAAGCATTGTATTTTTTAGAGTATAAAATGGAACACATTCCTAAAGGAGGCAGAAATAAATCTACATGTCAAAACCGAGCTCCCCTCACTTTATGTAATGGGCATGTTCCCGAAAAGTTATAAATAAATAAAATGTCTGTATATCAAATCATATTTTAAAAGTACCAGAAATATAAATCATTTTTCAAGCCTATTGGATTATAATGGCATATTCCTTTATAAAGACAATACATGTCTGTTAATTGGATTCATTTGTAACTGTGGGTTTTGGAATATTGCTCACCTAAACACTCATGATCATACAGGCAACATCTAGAATCTATGGATTTGGGGGCTTCTCTGGAGCAGAGGAAACGAAGGACGATGAGTCTGATGACATCCCCTCATTGGAGTCTAAGATGATGGGGACAACATACCTCAGAGTTTTCACAAAGACACAGGCTGTCCCTATTCTCTTGTCCCACAGTGTGGAGCAGAAGCAACAGCCAGTCTGCCAAGTCATATTTTCCCTCAGAACAGCTATTAAGCAGAAGTCTAACACACTTATGTGCACGAGGGGGAGAAAATAGTATGGCTGGGACACTGGCTAAAACAGAAAGAAAAGAAAATATAAACTCAGCTGTAATGTCACCCTCACTCATATCACTTTGGGAATTATTTAGGGGAGGGGTGCAATGAGGGTAATTATGGATCGAAGCCAAGCCAGATTTCAAATGTCTTGGCTTCTGTCAGGAAAAAAAAATGCTATTTAAAGAGAACTTCGTGTAGCTAATATTCCTGTAATTGCCATCAACTCTTCTCTAGTTGGTGTTAGCTAGCTGAGGCGTTTTTAACATGAAGGTGTGGCTAGAAAGATGTCTCCCCATGTCAGAGTAATTGTGTCAGGAGAGGGTGGTGAAGGGTGGGGGCCGCAGAGCAAGAGCTGAGAGCTCTGTGAGCAAAATGATTATCCTAGCTCACAGTTCCTTTGATATGTCAACTGTGCTACCCATTTGCAGGAAACACATATAAAATTTTATTGGAGCAATCCTGCCCCCTTTACTTACATAAGGGAAAATATAAATCAGCCAGAAATAACACTGGCCAGCTAGAGCAGCAAGTGAAGCCAAAATAACACCATCCAGAGGAGCACTTTACCATGAATGTAATGTCACTAGCTGGGAGAGCAAAAGCCCAGGCTGGGTTGATGATCATAGCGTGGGGGGCTCTGGGGTGGGGTTGGCAGGGAAAGGGAAAGTGGGAACACCACAGCCATGGTGGCCAAGCACCACCCAGCCATCCATATTTCCCGTACTGAGCCCCAGTTTCCATCTCTGCAAAGGGTGGGTAAAAATTCCTGCCTCGTAGGTGGTTGTTGTTGAATAAGATAGGATCTTGTAGGTGAAACGAGAGAGTAGAGAGGCTAGAGAGCAGGCCATCAATAAATCTAAGCTGAATCTGAATTTTAGTCCAGCTCAGCAAGCACGAGGAACAACCCCTGAGATTAGCTGAGGGTTGTTTTCTTTTAATCTAGTGATTCAATGTCTGCTGCTCTCTCCCTCCCTTCTTGTCATCCCTCCATCCACCCAGTCTTTTTTGAACATCTACTGTATTCCAGGCACTCAGCCATGTTCTGGAAATATGATGGTGAGCAACACAAACATGGGCCCTGCCCATGACAACCAAAAGCAAGAGACAGAAAATTAGACCAATCTTAAAATGATGTGAGAGAATGGGAATGAGTGAGTATACCGGGTGCAAAGGGAATGGAGGCAGAAACATCTAACCTGGACTGCTGGGAGGAAGAGGAAGTCATGGAAGGCTCTGTGTATGAAATGACATTGAAGCTGAGAACCAGAAGGATGAGAACTTAACCAGAGAAAGCAAGCATCATGGGTGTGTAGGTGGGTGACGTGCTCTAAGGAGGAGCGAGAATGCGTACCAGAGCCCAGTGGTGGGTAGAGCCAGGCTCACTCAAGTTCGATATGGCTGGAGTCCAGCTTACTGACATAATACATGTTTCTCCAACAAAACAATGTTGTTAAGTAAAGGTGTGGGAAGTGTAGGCAGCAGTGGGACTGGGGTCAGGTCCTAAAGGACCTTGTAAGCCAACCTGAGGAGTTGAGAAATTATATAAATGATGGATATAAAACTCCAACAACTTGGCAAGTCACAAGACCTGTGTGGGAATCCCTGATTTCCTCATATACTAAATGGGGGTGGAATAGATGGTCATCAAGGCCCCTTCCATGGACTAAAGGAGGCACTTAAATTCTGCACATATCCAAGACCTACAGATGCTCCTCAACAAGCTGCTTCTTTGATGGAACAAAAATTCCACTGGCTCGTGTTGAAAGTACCCACACTGCATTAAACTCTAACTGCACGCCACAGTCTTCTCCTTCATATCCTTTGAGCCCCAGAAATACGTTATCTGGAACCAGGCTAAGCCAGGAATGGCAAGAGGCGAGCTCAGTTTGAGGAAAGGTGAATTTGAGATAATGCAAAGCTTGGCATTACATTAGCCTTAAATAGAAACCCACCCAGATGGCAATAGCACCTAGGCATGGTATAAAACAAAAGACTATCCAGAAGGAACACAGGGCTGTACATTTGTGAGAATGTGGAACAAAACTCCTAACTTTGGTTTGCAGAATCCTAAATCACAAGATGTCCTGGTGCATTTATTTTGAGCAGATGGTAGTCTTTTCAGTATCAGTGTCTATTTCTAAATTAAATTTGGGATATTGGTGGAGAATGGAGAAGAATGTCAAATGAGGCTTATCAGCCTCACCTCATCTCTACCTTGGGCAACCCCCTCTGGCTAGCTCTCTTTCTACTCCCTTTAAGAGGCCTTAGGAAGGCACTATTTTCTCCTCCCTGTATGACACAGGAAATTCCAGCCCCTATTATGCTGGTAACTTCAGAAACTCTTAGAAATCCTACATAAAATTAACTCCTCTTTCAAATGTTCAGCCCAACTTAATCCTAAATGTAAGTTGCTTTGTTTGGCTCTCCCAGAGCTTGAAGTTGAAGTGGGGAGCAGAGGAAAATGCAATTGTTATCTTACTAAATCCCCCTTCCTTTCTGCTCCCCAGAGCACAGGGGAATGGATGAGGAAAGAGGACAAAGAAAGGAGGGAAGGAGGCAGAGGAAGATGGGGAGATAAGGAGGGGAGAAGACAGAAGAGGTGAAGGAGAAGGGAGGAGGGGAGAGTGGGAGGGAAATGCAGCCTGTGGAAGAGCAGAGTTTGCTGCCCCCCAAGCCTGGAGCATTCCCGAAGTTCTCATGACACTCTGACCCTGAGGATGCAGCCCCACTTGGACCTCACAGAGAACCAGGACAGCGGTGGTTGAGACTGAGCAGGAATGCGCTTCAGGGAAGATGTGGGTGGCTGCTAGCACAGGCGAAGATTCTATAGACAATCTCGATTTCAAATATTCTATTCTGGAACATCATCTGATTTTTGTGGTTGACAGGGACCCTGCCTCCCCACATGCACATTCCTCCTTCATGGCAACCACCTGTCCTTGGTCTGTGTGTGTGTCCAGGAAACCCAGGGCCAGGCTAATCATATTATAAGTCCTGCTCCTCTGGAAGCATCCACGGAGAGGCCTGAAGGAACCCACTGAGGAGTCACATTTGCCATCAAAGACTTGGTACAGAGAGGCAGCCAGAAGGGAAAGGTGAAAGGCACAGACTCTGGAGGCAGATGGCTCAGGTTCACTATCTCTCTCTCTCCTATCAGATGTATGATCTCAGGCAAATTACGTAGCTGCTCTGTTCCTCAGTTTCCTGGGCTCTATGATGGAGATGATGATAGTACCTGACTAGGAAGGGTGTGGTGGGATTAGGTTACGTCAACTCTCTACCACTGCTTCTTTCACTAAGCCAACATGCCCATGGGCCTTTGTACTCCATGTTGTGTTTGACTTTTCAGTTGTTTATTTAATTTGGGTTTTGAGATGATCTGGATAATCAGGGGAAGCAGTTCCAATACGAGGTGTCAGAAGTTTAACAGTTACTTAGATGCTTTTGCAATTCATGTATATAGATGCATTTTCTAGACGATAGACGTAACAAAAAAAAATCTACAGCCAATATTCATCTTTTCCTCTTTTTTAGGGTGAAAGTCCTCATAAAAGCATAGACTGTGGTTGTAACTGGATTACATGATCAGTCATCAAAGCAGGGGGGCTGTTCTTTATTTGTACCACATCTGTTTTGAAGGTTCCTTGAATTCAGGCAGCACCAGTGGTGGAATTCTGGGAGTACCTGCTGGGAGTCCATAGGTGTGAGAGAGGCTGAATGAGCTTCCTCTTTCAAACACTTAGCTGCCACTTTTTTTTTTTTTCCTGTCATTTTAAGTTCCGTAGACATTCAATTGATGGCTGTTGGCATGCAAAGGCAACAGGATAACTCAGAGGTTACAAAACAACTCCTTTAACATTGGTCTTCATAGAACACCAGCAGAGAAAAGGAAACTTTTAGCAGCCAGGATGATCCCTTTAAATGGTAAATCAGATCATACCCATTGTTGGTCCAAGATGCTGTGATGGTTCCCAATTTCACTTGGGCTAAAAAAAAAAAAGGCCCAGGTTGTTCCAAAGGCTAGGACGCCCTGTGTGGCCTAGCTTCTGCCTCCCTGCCTCACTCAGACCACAGTGCTCTTTCTGCAGACCCTTGGGCATGCCAGGGGTGTCCTCCCTTGGGCAATGGCACATGGGTTCCCTCTGTCTGCATCTCCACATAGCCGATTGTCTCATCTCCTGCAAATCTGCTCAGATCTCATCTTAATAAGAATCCTATTTAGTTCTACAGCCTGACCTACCCTGCTCTCCACCTAACAGTCTCTATCCCCTGGTTCTAGCTTTCCTTTTCCTCATCATACCAATCACTTTATAACCCACTATGTGATTTTTCTTTATTATGTTTATTGTTCATTACCTCTTCTTCATTAGAATGTTAGTTCCAGGAAGGCAGAAGCCTTGTCTGTTATGTTTTCAGATGAATCCCCAGTGCCTGGCACCCAGAAGGACCCAATCAATCTCTGTTGAATGAGAAACTTGCTAAGAAGCTAGTAGGGTGGCAACATAAAGTTAGATTTTGCTTGCTTGAGAAATAATGGCCTGCCTTGGTAGTAGTACCTCTCTACCAGTATAAGAAGACCTCTTTCCAAAATGAGCTTGTATTTTTCACTGTCAGAACACCTCCCTCCTTTTTTTTTAATTTAATTTTTTGAGAGAAACAGAGACAGTGTGAGTGGGGGAATGGCAGAGAGAGGGAGAGAGACACTCCCAAGCAGGCTCCATGCTGCCAGGGCAGAGTCCAACACGGGGCTCGATCCCACAAAACTGTGAGATCATGACCCGAGACAAAACCAAGAGTCAGACACTCAAATGACTGAGCCACACAGGTGCCCCAGAACACCTCCCTTCTTAGACCCAAGTGTGCTTTTGTGCTGTTTCCTTGGACTTGGGACAAGGCTAAAGTGCCAAGTCCATGGCCACTGCTCTGGTTGTAGCTGTCAGGCATAGTTCCAGGGCTGTGGCCCCTGAGCTGAGATCTTCTCACCCTGCCTGCTCAGGAAAAAGGCATGGAGCTCTGACTTCTCAGCTGTCATTGGGGGCCACTCACAAGTGAATGACACTCAGCCACCCCAGCTAAGTGAGAGCACTGCCACCACCATTCCTCTGGGCATCAGGGGCCCTAGTGTCTCCACAGCTGGGGGCCCGAATCAGGTTCATCCTGCAGCACAGCTGGAGAGTCTCCAGCAGCCCCAAGATCTGAGAGGTAGATCCTGGCTCTGGGCTTCCAGCTCTCCCACAGCTTGTTGGCACCTCCCCCGCAGGTGGGTGGGGGTGAAACTCAAGTCACTGGTGCTCATCTGGGGCTCCAGCGAAAGAGATGGCGAAACCCAGAGGTGAAACTCAGGGTGTAGTATTTTTGGATTCCATGTATCTCTCCTATCTCTAACTCTGTTACTGAAAAAAAAAAAAAAAAAAAAAAAAAAAAAAAAAAAAAAAAAAAAGACATGGCTACAAAATGAGATTCCCAGAAGAAGATAAAAGGAATCATGTATTTCATTTAAAAAAAAAAAAAAGAGGGAACACCTTTTTTTGGTCTTGCCCACCAACTCTTGCTGTGTCCATGATCTCATCTCCAAAGACCTGAGGTTTTTTTTTAATAGCTCATAATTACTTAATCATTCCAGTTCTGCTGTTTGTTCTCAGCTTTAAGTGCCAGATAAACACTTATTAAGGAGATAGCCTAAATTCATGGAAAAACCAAAACAACTTGAGAACTTCTTAATAGTGATTCCTGTCTTACAATTAAAGCGACATGAAAGGAGGAAAACGGTGTCGAAATACTAGAAAATAGTCTCCTTCCCAAGGTGTGTTTAGAAACTCAAACTTTAAAATTTCAATTTCAATCTGATTTTAATTTTGCCCTCTAAATCAATGCGCTCCTCATGCTGGCAGTTCTCAACCAGTGTGCTGCCCTGCACCCTGACCAATGTTGCCAGCCACAGATGATCAGTGTGGAAACTGTATTTCGTCTGTGGCCAAGGCACATGGGGCTGCTGAGCCCCATGGTTTAGGCAGAACAGGAGCAGCTGAACTGACAGCATCCTCAGCGTTGTAGTGAGCCAGGATGGAAAGACAGCAAGAAGAAAGGTAAAATTCAAAGAGTGCAAAGAGTTAAGAAGCCCAGCGTGGTGTTACTTGGCACCTAGAAAGACGACATGTCTATAGAAACGTGGAGAACTGGCTAGGCAGAATTGGCCAAAGCCAATAGGGTCACAACTGGGAAGATTCTCTAAGGTATGCGCTGCAAAAATCTAAAATGAGAGCAAGACTGTAAGATTGAGAGCCACCTCTCTAACCTGTCATTAAAAGGAAACATGAACATGACGAGAAAATTATGAAAAGCAAGAAAATTATGAGAAGCAACCTATCTTAAAGCTGGGATAGGACTCTGAGATTTCAACTAAAAAGACACTGGATATAAAATAAAACCCAGAAAACATGAAAAAAAGACAAAGAAGGTAGAAAGAGGCTTTTGGATTAAAAATAAAGAACGAGCACACAACAACAAACCCTGTTTCAATCCCCGTGGTACATACCTTGGAGTGAGGCCTGTAAGTCTTTCATGTTTTGGTCTAAAAGCTGTGAAGGAAGGAATCCTGAGCCTGCCTGGGGTCTGGGGTCTGGCTCTCCGGCGGCCACAGTGGGCACTGGCTCCTTCGGCCGGCCGTCTCCAAACACGGCAGCCCACTCTTTGCTGAACTCACCCTCGTCCAGGGAGGAAGCATTGAAGATCTCACTCAACAGAAGCAGGTCATCTTTGTCAGCACCCTCGGGTTCTAGGGTCCCCGCCACTGGGCCCAGGCAAGCTGATCAAAGTAACAGAGCACAAAACACATCACCACCCAGCACCCAAGCTTTTGGGAGCAAATACAGGGGGTGGCTGGGATGGAGCACACTGGGTGATGGCTACATTTAAGAAAAAGTTTATCAAACCATAAATGATTCTCATCATAGTCTCTCTTAAATTCCAGAATTCAATTTCTAGTCCCACTGTCACTCATACCCCTTCCTCCAAAGCAAGTCCAGTTTCTGGGCATCAGTAGGATTTCCATTAAAAACTCTAGGGTTTTGTTCTTTTCTTAATATAAAAGCAAATTTACCACCAAAACATTTCTCAGACAGGAAACAAAGCCAGGATTGAAGGCATGTGGGAGGTTTTCATTCCTTGTTTGTATAGCTTCCCAAATCTTTTCACACAACAAGCCCTAAAGCCACAGCCACCACACCCTGCAGGAGTCTGCCCTGTCAACCACAATGGGGAGAGGACACTTGCCACGCCTTGGGCAGGAACAGAGGATGTCAGGAAGTCCAACAATGACCAAGGAAGGCCTCTTGCTTCCTTTCTCCTTTGCTGCAACTAAATGCAACCCACCTCGAGGCTTTGCCAGAGCAGAGGAAAGGTGGGTCTGGTTTGCCTGAGGGCAGCAGTGAAAGAATGACAGGAAAACGGCAAATTATGGAACCACCTAGAGAAGGCCAGAGACACAGTCCCTGGAGGGTTGGAATGAGAACCAGACCAGAGGGTAAGCCCCGAGGCCATTCTTTACTTGCTGTGTGACTATAGCAAGACCCTTAGCTCTTCTGGGTCTCTTGTTTTTTTCACCTGTAAAATGATAATATTAATAATGCCCACCTCAAAGCATTATCAGGAAGATGAAAGGAAATACACCTTTAAATCTCATTGCTTGTCCACAAGGGAGACTTTAAAGAAGAGATTCATTCTCATAATATGAACACTGACAAAACACTTAACAGGGAATACAAATAGAACGGGGGCATCACTAGCCAGAAATCCTACAAGACCTTTCACTGGGTTTTCTACATATTTTGAACACCAAAGACTGATGGTCTTACTAACTGTGGCTTTGCTGTGGAACCTAGTTGCCACATGGGAACTGCAAACGTAAGTCACGAAGAGAAGGAATAATCGTGATTTGTATTGTCTGAGCTGTACTGCAATTCTGATACTGTCATATTAAGTGAGATTAACAGGTTTTCCTCAAATATATGAGACAATTAGCAAGTGAAGGCTTTTAAAAAAAATACATAAAGCTTATCTGTCCGCTTAACTGGATCTACTTTCAACCACACTTTATATAAAGGTGTTCTGACTGAGAGGACTTCTGATGTGCTAAGCAGACTGGCTATAAATCCAGGAAGGGAGGAGTCCAGTCACTCTCTTATCACTGTGGTTTAAAAATAGTAGCAAAATATGGCTTTAATTGGACAACTGTCTAAGTATTCTTATTGTTTGTGTTATCACAGAAATTTTCACTGGACGTAGCTTGTAGGTGGGTGGTGAGAAGACAAGGGAAATGGCATTTTAGTAAATAGGCTTGCGAGACAGTTCTTTAGAAGGAGGGTGGGCAGCCAGGACCCACCTTGACCTGTGCATGGTGGAAAGGCAGGTGGGTAGGGTAGGACAGCCCATATTTGTGAATGCAGGCAGAAAGCATGGCTGTGTCCATTAACATACACCTCGCTAGGCATCCTCCCTCCTTTTGGCTCTCAATCTCGCTTGATGTCAACTCTTTTTACATATATTAACTTCCCAAATCTCCATACATTCTACTTTCATTTGGGACTGGAATATCCAAACCTTTTCTCCTGGTTTACTTTCTGGCCTGACTGAAACCAGCTGATTGCGGAACCAAACCTGTTTTACTGGAACCAATTCAAATCAAAGAGTAGACTCTAGAGGAAGGGATGACTTTAGATAAGCACTGGAAGTTATGCATATTCTTCCTGAAGTCACTTTACAGCCCTCTGCTAAGTCAAACCCTGACTACTCTTTGATTTGAATTAACATCATCAATTTATTTGAATTGACATTTGATTTGACATCATCAAGATGTCAACCCAGGGAAGATCATGACTAACATTAGCAACAATAAATAATAAATGTTAAGCCTTCCAAAAAATAACCAGAAACTGGGGAAGCTTCATCTTTAACTATTTAGGTTGTGTGTGACAGTTTTGAGTGGACTTCTGTGGGTTTTGTTAACTTGGCATCCCTTCCCTCTTCCTCTTCAGTTTTCCCTTTCTGGAAACACCTTCTCCACCAGATCCTGGTGAATACTACATAAAGTGCCTCACCACCCCTCATCTAGACTGGCCAGAGTCCTTCATTTCTCAGGCCATGGAGACTGGCTCACGGATGAGCACATGCCAGAGGCTTCGCTGAGTTTGGTATATGGAAGGGGGAAGGAGGAGGGTGTCTTTCTCAGACTCCAGGTTCTAAAGATACAGTTTTGAGGCTCCCAGGAATGAGAGAGCCTGACATAGAACAACACAGTATCAAGAGTTGGAAACAGAATATTGACAACACTGTCTAAGCTCTGCATCCAGCCCCATTTGAGGCCAGTCCACCACTGTATGTCCTCAGTTACATGGACCAATACCCAATATGTTCTTTTCTTTTTAATTTTAAAGTTAAACTACTTAGAGAAGGGTTTCTATTACTTCCAACCGAAAGATTCCTCACCAATATTGTATCCTGTCAAATTCAACTTCACTGACAATAATGAGAAAAGGACCCATGGCAAGGATGATACTGTCTAGAGCTATTTCTTAACAGAAATTTACTTGGAGATCTACCACTGAATTTGGGCTATTAGTGTCCTGGTTATTTAACAGTTAAAGTGGGCTGCACAGTGGACATTTCTCTAAGAGAACTTATTACTTCACTAAAAGCAATGAAACTGGCACTGACTTGAACCAGAAAACAGGGAAACCCAATTACTGCCCTGATAATTAAGATGCTTGAAATTACTATACATAACTCATAAGAAAAACTTAATTACAAGTAGAAAAGGACAGGCTTAGGTCTGTAACCAGACAAGTCAAGACTTGAAAAATAACACTAGCTCTTAAGAATCAAGCTATCATTTTCCTTGGAAATAATTCAGCTAACTGTGAGAAAATGGGGACACACACAGAGAGATGACAAGCGCTTTGAGAGAAACCCTGGTAAGGGCTGTACAGGCAGAGTCAGGGCTTCCACCCAGGTAGCTGAGCAAGTATCATGCCTGGGTCATGGCACCCATCCTGCTTTTGTCTTCAAGGGTGAACCAAAGTTCTGGAGCTCTCAAGTGCCAACCCACAGATACAGATACCATTCCAAGTCCCCGTCATGCTCTTGTAGGCTCCCGAGTCTCCATGTTCACTCTCACATCCAATAACCCAACCCCAGATGTTACTACAAAAATAGAAGCCAATAGACACAATGAACTCTAGTTCTCACCTCTAGGCCTTCAGCTCTATAATCCTTTATGAATTCCCTCCTTTTTTTTTTTAAACGTTTATTTTTGAGAGAGAGAGAGAAAGAGAGAGAGGCAGAGAGAAAGAGAGAGACACAGAATCCCAAGCAGGCTCTTGGCTCTGAGCTGTCAGCACAGAGCCTGACACGGGGCTCAAACTCATGAATGGTGAAATCATGACCTGAGCTGAAGTGAACGCTTAACTGACTGAGCCACCCAGACGCCCCTCCCTCTTCCTTTTTTTTTTTTTTTTTTTAACGTTTATTTATTTTTGGGACAGAGAGAGACAGAGCATGAACGGGGGAGGGGCAGAGAGAGAAGGAGACACAGAATCGGAAACAGGCTCCAGGCTCTGAGCCATCAGCCCAGAGCCCGACGCGGGGCTCGAACTCACGGACCGCGAGATCGTGACCTGGCTGAAGTCGGACGCTTAACCGACTGCGCCACCCAGGCGCCCCTCCCTCTTCCTTTTTAACATCAGCCCTAGGTACACTCTCCCCTCCTGCTGGGAGCCTGCTCTGCCCCCACTGGGATTCAGCTCCAGCATCTCTATTCTTTCTCTCTCCAAGGCTTCCTCTCCTAACCTCAGAAGACGTGTGCACATCCCAGCAACAGCCAATCTTGCGACTGCTGTCTCCTTGGGCACCCCGTCCCATCCCCAATGTTGCTGCTCTGGTTTCTTCTCCCTTCTACAGCCACACACTGTACTTTGTCACTGCTCTTATTTCCGCTACCTGTAGTCAAGTTCCTGCCCCTGCTCCAAACAGCAGTGGCCCTCCTGAAGGTTACCAGTGAGATCTTCATGGCCGATTCAAATCCCTTTCTCTGGCCTCACCCTCTGTGGGACTTTGTCCTGTTGTACAAGCTGGAAATGCTGTCATCTCCTGGGTCTTCATGAAGTGGCTCTCTCAGATGTCCTCCTATCTCCTCAACAATACTATCCCTGCTGCCTCTTCCTATTCTGGTTGCCCTACAGTTTCTTCCTGAGCCATATCTGCCTTCCCTACATTATCTACAGAACATCTTATCTATTCTCATGGTTTCAATCTCACCTGGGAAGACTTTCAAATCTCCATCTACAATTCCAAGTTTTCTTGAACTCTGATGACAAACTCCTGACTCAAGGGTCCCTTGGGGTTTACTACTGGCAAGCCTGCTGACACTCCATAAAAGGTACCCTCCTCGCTGTATACCTTTGTTCAGTGCAGCTGTGAGAGTTTCATTTTCTTATTTTAAAACCTTCAATGGCTCCCTCTGACTCCCGAAGAAAGGAACACTCCTTACAGTGGTATTCAGGACCTCTGCAGTCCAGCTCTAAGGCAGCCCTTCCAGCAACTCATGAGGCCTTCAGAGAAACCTATGCTTTGGCAAAACTCCCTCACATTTGCCATTCCTCAAACATGCTTTCCTGCCTTCCTGTCTGGAAACCTGTTTTCTCCCAGTGAGATGCCTGGAGAGAAGAATCACACTGAACTGAAAGGAACCTTGGAGATTATCCCCATTTAACTCACTTTACAGATGAGGAAAAAGATACCCAGGTCAGATGA